TCTGAGGCTGCTTTGACAAATCCCTCATCAGCGTCGGCCAGTAAAAAGAGGAAAAGCTCAGTGAAGGCGAAAATAATAGCAAAACTTCTTCTCCCAAATGTTCTTAGCCACATAAAAGCCCAAGAAAGCCCACTTAGGGGAGTTTTGCTTCCCTTTCTCCTATTTTAGTTTGTTTTATTTTCTCTTATTTTGTTTGTGTTCCATGCATTAGGACAATGCATCCCTAGGTTTGGGAATATGTTGTTAGGTTTAGGTGTTACATTTAGGAATATAGTTTACTTATAGAATTGCATTAGTATTACCTTAAGATAATTTTGAAAAAATAAATTAATGAAGTAGTTAAGGAAATTTTGATGATGCCCGATGATGAATATTAATCAAATGAAATGCTATAAGAAATACTATAGAAACCTTTAAAAATAACAGTCATTCGATTTTTTTACACATAGGTGTATTTTTTCAATACTTAGAGAATTTAGAACTTAAGCATATTTATGAGCATTATAGGATTAAATTTACTTGATTTTACTTATTTTTCATGGTAGGAGCATAGTGGGTTGCTATGGGCTAAATTTGATTTTTGCTACTGAAAATTGTTGCACTAACGCCGTAGCACTACAGGAAATGCTAGTCAGATATGTAGCAATCGTTTAAACTTCAGAGGGTTAGAAGAATCTTCTAGAGTGGGATAGTTGGATCGGGTAGCTGTCATGTGGCTGGATAACATCTGAAACATGGACCTTTTTTATAAGGCAATGAAATTTTCATTCAAGTTGTAAAATTTGAATACTTGGGTGCAAAAAGTATGACATTGTGAAAGATCCAAAGTACCATTTTCAACGTTATTTTTCTTAAGACATGGACACCTAAATCCTACACCAGGGATTATTACAGCTCAAAGGAAGCTCGTTGAGGAGCTTCAGGGGTCAGCAGATTATGTTCAATACCTTCTATTGAGAAAGAGAATGATTGAACAATTAAACTTTTTTTGGATGTTTATTATGAACTTTGAATTTTATGTTTACTTGGTATTTAGATTATGAGCTCTGAACTTCATGATTGTGAGTATAAATATTTGCAATTAAATATATATTGTTTTCGTTTAAATCTAGAAATATTTTCATTCGACTTGTTATATACATTTGGGAGCCTTGGTGTTGCTCAGTAGGATAAGTACACTAAAAAGTGTGCAGCTAATATATTATTGTTGTTAATGGTTTGAGCCTTTAATTGATGAAAATTATTAAAGTAATTTAAATGGATTTAATCAATAATGATCACATGGATTAAGTATATCATGTTTTCATAAAAATTATAAGTCATAATATTATATCCTTTGATTTGATAGCTGACCAAATGCTTTCTGAATGTTGTAGCATGAACAAGTACCTCTCATTATTGATTACTTTTATTTCTATCTAGCATCACATTCCTTTGAAGCATTTATTGTTAAAAAACTATAATATCAACACTTTTCTCCTTATGGGTTAGACATTTGAAATCTCGTAGTTTCACTTTATTACTTGATTTGCGATATGTGCACTTGCGTGATTGATATAGCATTTTCGTAGCATCACTTTTCTGTTTACATTGAGGGATACATTACTACATGAGGTTATCATTACATTGCTTAAATAAATATGGCTACTCCCAATGGTATTGCTTTTCGTCACTCATGAATTACCTTCGACCTTGATAATTAAGATCGGTTGGGATGATCCCACTACTAGATAGTTGGTAAATATAAGCCTACCACGGTAATGTTGTAGTGGGTAACAGACACACATCAGAGAATTCATCTAAAATTACTAAAATGATGGCATCTTCCCTGCTAGATTCTAACCTAGATAAGTGATCAACCACTTGATTTTCAGATCCCTTCTTATCCCAAATCTCAATATCAAATTATTGGAGTAAAAGTACCTAACGAATCAAATGAGGTTTTGTATTCTTCTTGACAAAAAAATTCTTAGCGTTTAGTGGTCAGTATAGACAATCACTTTCGTGCCCACTAGATATGAACGAAATTTTTGTAAAGCAAACACAATAGAAAGAAAACTCCTTTTAAGTTGTGGTGTAGTTAACCTAGGCTTCATTTAATGTCTTAATGTCATAATATATCGCGTGAAATTTTATTCTTTCGTAGCCCTAACATTGCTCATACAGTAAAATCACTAGTACTACACATTAATTCCAAGGGCAAATTCCAATAAGGTTCCATAATAACAGGGGCATTCACTAGCTTCTTCTTGATTATCTGAAGGGATTGAAGCACTTCTCATCAATAACAAACTTCCTGTTTTGCTCTATCAATGAACACAATGGCTTAGCAATTCGAGAGAAATCTTTAAAACCTTATAGAAGCCATCATGACCAAGAAAACTTCAAACTAACTTCACATTGGTAAGAGGTGGTAATTTTTCATAAACTCCACTTTAGCTTTATCCACTTCGATTCCAAGGCTTGAAATTCGATGCCCTAGCACTATACCTTCTATGATCATAAAGTGGCATTTTTTCTAATTCAAAACTAAATTGGTCTCATCACATCTCTCAAAACTGCAGCCAAATTTTTAAACATTTCTCAAAGTCTTTCCCAAGACTGAAAATCATCCATAAAAACCTCAAGATAGTCTTCAAACATATCGGAAAAAATGGCCATCATACAACGCTGGAATATCGTAGATCATTACATAACCCAAATGGCATTCTACAAAAAAGCAAAGGTACCAAATGTGAAAGTTGTTTTCTCCTAATCCTCTAGAGCTATAACAATTTGATTGTAACCACTATATCCATCCAAAAAACTATAAAAAGCATTACCAGCAATTCAATCTAGCATTTGGTCTATAAATGGCAATGAGAAGTGGTTTTTTCTTGTTGTTTTGTTAAGCTTCCTATAGTCCATGCATGTCCTCCAACCAGTTGTTGTTCTTGTCAGCACTAATTCATTTTTATCATTTGTCACCACAGTAATTTCGCCTTTCTTTGGAACACATTGTATAGGACTGATCTAATTGTTGTCTGAAACTGGGTATATAATCCCAGCATCCAACCATTTGATAATCTTCTTTACAACCACTTCTTTCATGATCAGATTTAATCGTCGTTGATGTTCAATTAAGCTACTATTAGAATCCTCCAAAAGAATTTTATGCATGCAAAAATATGGACTAATGTCTTTTATATTAGCAATGATCCACGTAATAGCATGATGATGCTTCTTCAACACATCAATCAAATGAGTTTCTTGAGGTGTTGTAAGCTGTGCTACCACAATGACTAGTAGTGTCTCATTTTCTCCAAGGTAAACATATTTCAAAAGCTCTGGCAGAGGTTTTAATTCAAGCTTTAGTGGTTTTTCAATAAATGGCTTCAGTGCTTAAAGAGTATGACCATTCATTTGCGAAGTTCAATGTTCAGGAGATACTTGCTAAAACATTCTTCTTCTTTATCGTTTAAAAATTCTTCGAATGCTACTAAATCACGTTAGGGTTATATCAGCGTTGTAGCATTCTTCTAAAGGCCCTTGTGCAAAAATGTCAATCACATCAAGTTAAAAACAGTCAACATTGTCATTTATATAAGGAACATTATTTAAAACATTAAAAGTAATATGCTCATTGTTCAAGCGCATAGTTAATTCTCCCTTTTCAACATCAATCAAAGCTTGGCCTGTGGAGAGGAATGGGTGATCTAGAATAATTGGAATATCATTGTCTGCTTCATAATATAAAATGATGTAGTCCATAGGAAAAATAAAATTTTCCACTCTCACAAGCATGTTATCCACAATACCACTAGGATGCAAGGTAGAGTAATCAACAAGTTACAAAGTAACCGTAGTGCGCCTTGCTTCGCCATTCCCTATTTTTTTAAAGATTGAAAATGACATTAGATTTATCCTAGAACCCAAATCACATAAAGCTTTACCTACAAATGTGACACCAATGTTAAAAGGAACAGTGAAACTCCATGGATCCTTTATCTTCTTTTAGTGCTGTGAAAATGATGGAGGCATTCTTAGTTGTTGGTGTTGAGGCATTGAAGTAGTTGAGCGTCAGATGTAAAAGGGTTATTATCAGAAACGATTCTAAATTACTACTTTGCTCTGCGTTTGGTGCTGTGAATTGATTCTCACGCGATTCAGTCTCAACTTCTTTGCTCTTACCATTACCATGCGTATGAGTTTCATTATTATTTCTCCTCAATTCTTCAATTGGTTCCCCAATATGAATTTTACTTCTTGTGATAATGGCCTTGCAATTCTCTTTACAATTTTGCTTGGTATTCTCAGTATCACTAGGAAGTATTCCTTGCAATGGACTATTTAGAGCTTAGCCATTTGTTCTTTCTGGTTTTCTATAACCCTCAATGAGGTAGATTGGATTTCCATATACTCTTTCATCATAGCTTCAAAAGGTGTTGAAGTTTGGTTAGAATATTGACCTTGGTAATTCTGCCTTTGTTGTGGTTGTGGCATTTGACTTTCCTAATTATATTATTGTTGGTGTTGTGGATTGACAACATTCTGACTTCTCCAAGAAAGATTAGGATGATTTTTGAAATTTTCATTGTACATATTGCCAAAGGCATTATCATTCCTTTGATAATTATGCACATAGTATATAGACTCCAGATTTTGGGGGCATTCATCAAAATTATGGTCATCACCATAATATACGTAACTGATAAGAGATGTGACTTTGACTTCATACATTCCTCCTGGTTTGTACAATTTCTTCACCATTTCAGTCAATGCTGAAATATGAGATGCAATAGAGTTGAAAACTTCAGAGTCTATTACTGCAATACCAGACTGACCAAATGTGTTGCGCATATTAGGATATTAGCAATCATTAGTGGATATTTTTTTTGAGGATATCATATGCTTCATTGTATGTCTTATCCAACAAAGCTCCATTCGATGAAGCATCAACCACCATACGAGTGTGTATATTGAACCTGTTATAAAACATCTTCATTTGAGTCCAATGTGGGAATCTATGCACATGATACTTCTAATACAATTCTTTAAATCTTTCTCATGCTTCATACAAGCTTTCATCTTCCAACTGTTTGAATGAAGTTAAATCATTTTGAAGATTAGAATTCATATTTGGTGGGTTAAATTGCAATAAAAAGTTTTGTGATAATTCATTACAGGATGCTATAACACCTGGTGGCAATGAACTCAATCAAACTCATGGTTTACCATGCAGCAAATAAGGAAATAGCTTCACCTTCAGTGTCTTCTCCGGAATACCTTGCTAAATAAAAGAATCGCAAACCTCCACAAATGCTCTCAAATGAGCCCTAGGATCTTTAACAATAGATCGTCCATATTGTCTCATAAATTATAGCATTTGGAACATAACTGGCTTTAATTCAAAATTCCCAGCATTAATAATTGGCCTCACAATGCCCGGATACAGATCATGTAATGTCAGCACCACATGCTCACAAATAATACTATTACGATCATCCAAGTTTTGATATGGTTGCCCATCTCCCATGCTAGTTGGCAACTTACCTTTCTCTCCATTTTTCAATGTGGATAAAATACCATTCCCTCATCTAGCCATAGAAACTTCACAGTGACGTCTCTGAAATGTTCTTTAAATCTCTTGATCAAATCGCTTTAAGTCTTCGTCACTTCGAGGCATACATAGGAAAATAGAAAATAAGAATACCTACAAAGGAAAACAAACAAGTAAGCAAAATCAAGAGAACTCTAAATCAAACCCATGCTCCCCAACAACGACGCCAAAAACTTGATGCTACTTAAGACGTTATAGCCTTTAACACAAGTATATGTATCGCTCGATTAATAAAGTAGTAACAATTGATACTATCGATATCAAACCCACAAGGAGAAAAATGTTATCATTAGAGTTTGCAAAAATAAGATTTATCAGGTATAAGAGTTGCTAAAAAGAATATACTAAAATCAATAAGGAAAAACACCAGTTCCTTTTACAACATTCCAGAAAATGTATGGTTAGCTATCAAATCAATGGATACAATATTATGAACTTCAAATATCATACAAACATTATACACTCAATTTATACAATAAGCATTGATTAAAACCTTTTGAACTACTTTAACAACTTTCATCAATTAAAGATTCAAAATATTAACAACACTAATCAATTGGTTGCATACTTTTCAGCATACACTATGCTACTCAGCAACACCAATGCTCATAAAAGTACATAACAAATCGACTGAAACTATTTATAGATTTAATTGAAAATACTATATATTTAATTATAAGTACTTCTATTCACGATCATAAAGTACTAAGCTCATACAATAAGTATCAAAGTAAACAAAAAATATCAAATTCATAATATCATCTAACAAAAGTTTAAGAATTCAAATCATTCCCTCTCTCAATAGAAGGCCATCAACGGAGATCCGCTGGCCACTGAAGCTACTCAGTAAGCTTCCCTTGTGTTGCAGCAATCTCTGGTAGAGGAATTAGGCTTCCATGTACTTGAATATTTAACGTGGAAATTTGGGTACTTGCAAAGGCTCTTGAATGTCACACTTTATGTGCTCAAGTACTCCCTTTTTTTATAGCTTGAGTGGGAATTTCATCTCCCAATGAAAGATGTCCATGTTTCAAGTGATATACAACCAAATGATAGCTGCCCAAGCCAGTTGTCCCAATCCAGAAGGTCCTCTTAACCATCTGGAGCTTGGAGGACTGCTGCAGTATCCGCTCAGCATTTCGTGCAAAATTTGCAAAACTAAGTAATTCTAATCCTAAAATGATCCTAAATATGCTCAAGTTCAAACCAAACCTAGGTGAAAAAGACTACTAAAGATAACTCTTTTGGAGAGTAATCATGTTTAATAAAGAATTTTAGCTACTCTGATATATATATATATATATTAGTTATAGAATGGTTTGTAATATAAAATCTAGTGTTGTTTTAAAATAAACAATATTAAGTAATAGTAATATAAATGAATAGTATAATAGTGAATTAGGTTTTAAATATTAAATCGTTAATTTCAAAGTAGACACTTTCAATCAGTTTCATTTATGATATTGAACAGTACAGAAGTGCCTAATTGTTTTTTGAATCAAATTTGATTTTGACATTTTAATATTAAATTATAATTTTATGTGATTATTAGTTTTAAAATAAAAAAATGCATTGTAAAATTTTAAAGAAACAAAACTTTAATGGTTTCCAAATAGTAAACGTTTTATACGAATGATGTGACATCTTTGACCGTTTACGAGTACGTATATGAGTTAAGGGTGTTATATATTGTATGCCCAAAACCTCCTTTATTTAAGGCTACACAAAGAATTGTATCAGTACTGTTCAAGCAGTACTGATACCTCTACCCATAAATGCCCTGTTTTTGGCTAAAAAATGTCCCCTAACTCCCCTCAAAAATCCCTCTAAGACTCTTGAATGTTCATTAAGCTTTATGGGAATTTAAGGCTTCATTATGAGTCATTTCCAAGCAATATAAACATCAAATATTTCATTTTGTTAAAAAATCATAACAATCCAAACTTGTACACATGAACACAACAAGCAAACAAATCGCAACCTAACGGTCTACAAGCGGTATAAGTGAGTTAGGAATGTGTTACCTTGAGCTTTCACCAACTTCCCTCACTAACCACAAGTAAATAAGAGGATTACTAACTCATTGAAAGACCTTACATGGATAGAAACATTATTTAAAACCCTTAGAAATGGATTTGGAGTCTACTAGGGCTCTAAAATGCCAAAGCCTCTTTAAAATCCCTACCATGGCCACGATGGCCAAAGCTTGAGATGGTGGGTTTAAAATGAAGTTGTAGGGTAGAATATTAACGTTTTTACCTTTCTAAACGCGAACTAGCTTTGTTGGAAACCAAGATTCCACATTTTATGTTCACAAGAGGAAGGAGGTGAAGAAAAATGAGAGGAAGAATAAGACAAATGTGAGTAAAATGAGATGGAGATTTTCAGCTTTTGCCCCTTGACATCACCAACATTAAGTGAAATTCAACCTTTCAAAACTCTAGGGTTAATTACTACTATAGTCCTTCATCTTTTGGTTCCCATTTAAAAATCCCTTTTTTTTCCAACTTGTGAGCTTCACCCTAAGCCTAAACAAACTCACACATAACTCAAGTGTTTAAATCAAGCTTACTAAAGAACTCTAAGTCCAACATTATACCCAAAACTATTAACCCAATTTTTGAAGTGTTACAGACTGTCATGAAGCTAACATAACAAGGTTGCTCTCTAGCAGAATCAAAGTTGCCATGCTCCTTTCACCATGTCGAATCAATCGACAAGACAAAGGCATCAGCGCAAACCTGATGGAAACTCTGGTTATGGGTTCCTCTCTAAATATTTGGTGGTGCACCAGAAACCTCATAATGTGGTGAAAACGAAATGATTCACATCAGAGGATAGTCGTTGTCTCAGAGAGTGTTATGGGGTTTCCATGGTTGTCGATAACATCAACGATCCTGAGTTCGATGGTACATTTAACTTCTACCATCTTAACATATCCGAATACATAATTCCATATATCTACTTACGTTTTATCATCTTCTTCCTTCCCTCTCACTTGTATATCTCCCATCTCCATTATTCCCTCTTTAAAATCTTAGAAAACTATACACAAATCTTGATAGAGAAAAAAACTTTATTAAACCTTATTAAATAGGAGTAAAGAGTATCTATTTAAGAATTTTTATATAATTAGGGTCTCAAAAGATCTAATGACTAATGAAAACCTACTTTATAATGATCATAATTCATCTTGGAATCATTATTTATACCCTACATACAAGGTTTTGCTTAAGGCTTTCTAATTTTTTTTCTTCCTTTACATTTATATAATAATGAAAGCATCAACTAAAATTATTGAAGGACTATCAAAGATTTCTTGTTTATATTGTGTTTTCCTTTAAATACTGATTTGTTTTTTCCATTTTCCTCGTTGTTTTTGTAATACCCCAAATGGTAGGTTAGTGACTATTTTGAAAGAATTTAAAATTTTGAGGGTTTAATTTAATAAATGTTAAAGTATAAGGAATGATTTGAGTAAGACCAATTAGTAAGAAAAGGATAATTGAAAGGGCATTTTGGTCCTTTGGAATGAAATGAAATTAAAACTTATTTATAAATAATAGGGATTTAAGAAAAAGGGGAAAGTAAAATATTTAACTATATTATTTACTCCTCTTCTTATTCCTCCCGTGGGTTGTGCTTTCCTCCATAGAAAAGGTGAATTTCCTTCAGTTAGTCTTACTTCCGATTCTGGTTTTCTTTGTAACATTAAGTGATATGTAAGCCTAAGTATGGGTTAAAGAAGATTAAAACTAAGAGGTGGAAGTTTTATTTGAGAAATAGGGAAATGGGTTTTTGAATGATATGTTGATATATTAGTTTTTATTGAGGTTTATTAGTATATTTTACTTGTCAAATGAGTGAATAAGATATTATAAGAATTGGATATGATTAAAAACATATTAGAAAAAGTGATATGATTATTAGTTTGAGATGTTCTTTGGATATTTTAGATGTTATAAGAAGCTAAATGAAGGAAAGTGAGTTGGGTTAAGTAAATAAGAGTTTACTGATACTGTTGGAGGTAAAAGAAATAGATTTAAGGGAAAAGTTAGTAAAAATTGGATGAAAAAAGTTAAATCTAGGTATGGGTATTGGTACTGGAAGAACAATATCGATACTATGGGTTCAAATGGGTAGAAATATGATGAATAGTATTGCTACTGATGTAATTAGTATCGATACTGATGGAGTATCGATACTGAAAGGAAAGTATCGATACCATGTATTACAGAATGAAAAAATGGTATCGATACTAAAAAGGGAGTATCGGTACCATTGTAGTCCTTTAACGATGCACCCAAGTGGGAATAAGATGTATCAGGATTTAAAAAGTCGTTATTGGTGGCCTGGTATGAAAAGAGTTATATCAGAGTTTGTGGCAAAATGTTTGACATGTTAGCAGGTGAAAGCTGAACATCAAGTGCCATCTGGATTTTTACAACCGATATCCATTCCTGAATGGAAATGGGAACAAGTTACAATGGATTTTGTTTCGGGGCTACCCTTGTCACCAGGTAAAAATGACTCTATATGGATAATTGTAGATCGATTGACCAAGACAACTCATTTTATTCCAGTTCGAGTATATTACTTAATGGATAAGTATGTGGAGTTGTATAAAGAGATAGTCAGACTACATGGAGTGTCGATATCAATAGTATCCGATCGAGACCCAAGGTTTACTTCAAGATTCTGGAAGTCGTTACATAAGGCATTAGGTACTCGAATGAACTTCAGCATAGTTTTTCATCCATAAATAGATGGGCAGTCTGAATGAGTTATCCAGATACGAGAATATATGCTAAGGGCATGTGTGATTGAGTTTAAAGGATCATGGGAAAGGTATTTGCCTTTAGAGAAATTTGCGCATAACAACAGTTACCAATAAAGTATTAGGATCACCACATATGAAGTTTTGTATGGGAGAAAGCGCCGAACACCATTAAATTGGTTTAAACTAAATGACCGAGACCTAGTTGGCCCGGAGTTGATTAAAGAAATGGAGGAGAAAGTGAAAATTATCCAAGGCAATCTAAAAATAGCCTTTGATCAACAAAAGTCTTATGCTGATTTGAAAAGAAAGAAATTGAATTTCAAGTGGGAGATAAGGTGTTTCTGAAAGTGTCATATTGGAAGAAGGTATTACGATTTGGGCGAAAAGGAAGTTGAGTCCGAGATTCATTGGACCTTATGAGATCTTGAAAATGGTTAGACCCACAGGTTATCAATTAGTGTTGCCTCCGAATATGGACAAGATCTACAATGTTTTCCACGTATCGATGCTTAGAAGGTACAGATCAGATCCATCCCATATCATCACGCCTGAAGAGATAGAAATCTGACTAGATTTAACTTATGAGGAGGAACCAGTACGGATCTTGGCTAAGGAAAACAATGAATTGCGCAACAAAAGTATTTCGTTAGTTAAAGTGCTCTGGCAGAATCATAAGGTAGAAGAAGATACTTGGGAAAGAGATGAGGACATGAGGAAGCAATTTCCACACATCTTCGTTTTAGGTACTTCTTTAAATTTGAGGATGAATTTTCTTAAGGGGGAAGAATTGTAATACCCCAAATAATAGGTCAATGGCTATTTTGAAAGAATTTAAAAATTTGAGGGTTTGATTTAAGAAATGTTAAAGTATAAGGAATGATTTGAGTAAGACCAATTAATAAGAAAATGATAATTGAAAGGGCATTTTGGTCCTTTGGAATGAAATAAAATTAAAACTTATTTATAAAGAATAGGGATTTAAGAAAAATTGGGAAAATAAAAGATTTAGTTAAGTTATTTACTCCTCTTCTTCTTCCTCCCGTGGGTTTTGCTCTCCTCCATAGAAAATGTGAATTTCCTTCAGTTAGTTCTTCCTTCCGGTTCTGGTTTGCTTTTGTAACATTAAGTGATATATAAGCCTCAGGATATGTTAAAGAATATTAAAACTAAGAGGTGGAAGTTTTATTTGAGAATTAAGGAAATGGGTTTTTGAAAGATATGTTGATATATTAGTTTTTATTGAGGTTTATTCGTATATTTGACTTGTCAAATGAGTGAATAAGAGATTAGAAGCATTGGATATGATTAAAAACATGTTAGAAAAAGTGATATGATTCTTAGTTTGAGATGTTCTTTGGATATTTTAGATGTTATATGAAGCTAAATGAAGGAAAATGAGTTGGGCTAAGTGAATAAGAGATTTAAGGGAAACGTTAGTAAAAATCGGGTTAAAAATGGTAAATATGGGTAGGGGTATCGGTACTGGAAGAACAATATCGATACAATAGGTTTAAATGGGTAGAAATGCGATGAACAATATCGGTACTGATACAATTAGTATCGATACTGATGGGACATCGATACTGAAAGAAAAGTATCGATACCATGAATTATAGAATGTCAAAATGGTATCGATAGTATCGATACTGAAAGGTTGTATCGGTACCATAGTATAGAGTATCGATACCATGGTAAGGGTACCGATACTATTGAGCATGGAATTATAAGATAGACTGAAATTGTTATAGAAATTGAAATAATAGTACTTTTGAGTATTATTAAAATATAAATGTTAGGGAATATACTAATATTTGGTATGGTATGTGTCTTTAATGGATACTTGTGTAGATCATAAACAAGCTCCTAAATCTAGAAAGAACAAGGGGTAAAGATAAAGTTGTTGAGTAGTCAGACATCATTACATTTTATTAGCGAGGATTGTCAGGTAGTACATTTATTGTATTTATTTGAGATGAAAAAGATTCGCAATGATTCAAATTAGAATGTTTTAATTTAATGTATGTTTTATGGTATTCAATATGTTTTTATTACATAAATGAAATGCATAATGGTGCATTAAATGCATGAAAGGATGTCATAAATGAAATGCATAACGGTGCATTAAAGGTATGAAAGGATGTCATAAATGAAATGCATAATGGTGCATTAAAGGCATGAAATGATGCCATAAATGGAATGCATAACGGTGCATTAAAGGCATGAAAGGATGCCATAAATAAAATGCATAACGGTGCATTAAATGCATGAAATGATGCCATAAATGAAATGCATGACAGTGCATTAAAGGCATGAAAGGATGACATAAATGGAAATAATGAATAATTATTAAAGAATAATGAGAAAAAATTACAGAAAGAAAGGTATGATGAATATACTAAGAATTTTATGATCACAGTATGAAAGAAATATGGGTTAGATAATAGGAAATTATCTAATCCTTATGGATGATATGAATTAGATCAAAAACAAATAATGATGATATACTTATGTATACTTTAATGTTTCTTTACAATATTATATCTCACTAAGTAACTATTTAACGTATGTTGATTTCACGCGTAGGTGAAGGTAGAGATTAGCTAATTAAGGAGTGCAGTAGTAGCAGAAGCTATCATCAATTAAGGTTGACTCGTCAGTAACAATAGGACAATCCAGATTATTTTGAAAAACTTAGTTGGCATGTAATTAAAGTACGAAAAAATGTTTTGAATTTTATTTAAGTAGAACCTCGTAACAATTTTAATTAATGTTTTGATGTAGATAAAACAAATGTTATGTTTTAAGAAATATTGAAACAAAATTTTAAAGGTTTTCAATTGAGGAAATAATTTTTCAAGTGATGTGACATATGTATCTCGTGTACGGAAAGGTATACGAGAGATGGGTGTTACAGTTTTCTTTATCTCCTTCAATAGCATTGTAACTACTGCTTGCCTCCTATTCGATTTGGCGTATTAATATATAATAACGAGGATTGTAAATTATTAATTACTGCTAATTTAATAATTTATTAACATTCTAAAAAACCAACAAGAAAGATACTAAATTATAATTAATATGTTAAATTTCCTTATTTTTAGGATTGATTATGTGTCGTTGAATTTTTTTCAATAATTTTTTTGGTTAAATTTATTAATTTATGTTTATATCAAGCTCTCATATTATTATTAGATTTTAAATATAATTAAAAAAATGATAAAATTTTATCGAACTTAATGAACTAGTTGAGCCGAGCATGAGTTGCACCAACTTTGTTGCAAGAACGAGAACTGAACCAGCCAGTGCATTTTTATGTTTGTATCAAATACTTGTAAATCTGCATCAACATAAATGCAAAAAAGCCTAGTGCACACACAATATTCGAATTTAAAAGGGACACAGGGATGTTAGCTCCTAATGACAACAGAAATTTTGACCATAAGCTCATCCGTCCGTTGGAGACCTAATGTTTATCTTGTACAAAACCATCTCTCAACTAACAATTCATAAATCCTCCTAAACCCGGGCCTTCGTCTTTGCACCATTACGTGCATAATATGCGACTATATACTGCAATCAGGTTCCAATTTCTTTTAATCTGCAGCTTCAAAGAATAGAACCTGTGGCTGGAAGCGCCCTTGCTCACACGTAGTAGCAACATCGCCCCAGCTACCGATTACCTGGACATCCAAAATCACATTGTAACACTGGCATGGATGACATACTCCATAAAATAACACATACTTACCTTGACAATTTCGTCATCATACATAATCCATCTTTCACGGTCATGACTATAGGCAAAACAGTGATAGTGTTGCCTGTAATAGCAAACCTGAGAGTTTCGAATGTGGAACAAAATCAAACCTTAGAAAAACAATGTTCAAAATTCACCCTCTTTCTGAATTTTGTAATTTTGTAGAATGCACATTCGTACCATTGAGACTAGATTATGCTTATTTTTTGGATCGAGGCCATGATAGATGACACTAACATCTATTTCAGAGTTCAGGGCAGCCAGTGTTGCTGCTATGTCACCAGCACTTTCACAAGTTTTCTGCCAACCAAGAACTGCAAGACCAAAAGTGGCAATGGATTTATAAAATATAAACTGCATGGCCAAGTATAAATTCATATAACAACTCCGAGCGCAACCTGTTGTGAAAACTTGTGGTGAATTTGAAATAAGGTGGTGAAAATAGTTGAGCTTCCCACAGCCTCCAGCCTCCGGATCACAAGTTAACTGATGGTTCATCTCCACAAGATTTAAAAGATCATCAAAGGAACTTTCAGCACGCATAACCTGAATGACAAACCAAAGCTCGTTAGGAAGAACCAAGCAAAATTGTTAAACAGGAATGCTTGATCTAAGATGTTTTGAAAAAGATGATACCTTCATTGTTCGCAGTGAACTGGCATTTATATTGTGAAAGAAAGTAGTGTATTTCAAGTGTCTGGACTCCAGACCACAACTGGAGCAGTTCATGCGTTCAAAGACATCCATTCCGAAAAGGGAATGCACTATACAAGCACTGTTTGCACAATCCCAAGAGCGCGTGCAGTTGCTGTCCGCAGAGTCGGAGTCACAAACACTCGAACCAGAAGTAAAAGATTGATGAAGGCAATCAAATATTACAGCCAATACTTCAGAAGCATCGTTCATCTGAGCCTGTAATTGCTACCACTTATGTCAAAACTCTCTAACATAGGCATCCATCTAAATTCATAATTATCGTAATGACGAGATGTCTAGCAATTACGTTGCTTCACTTTCCATCTAACTCATTTCCCTTTTCTTTGACTTTCAAGAATATCCTCATTCTTAAAGCCACGTAAAATACAAAATGAACCTACCTCTTGGAAGAAGTTACCATCTGGATACAAGTTGCTAAGAGCTATTCTAAGTAATGTAGGGGCAACTGATTCTTTCTGTGCATCAGTAGATGCAATGTTCAGGGCAATGAAAATTTCATATACCGCACAGACAACACATGGGTCTCCCACATGAACATGATCTGATGTCGATCTCCGCAAGAATTCATCACGGAACCGTCTCAAGTGCCACAACGACTAAGTTTAAACCAACAGCAAGCAAGTTAGAAAGAGAACATTACGTATAAAGTTGAGTTCAAGAACTGTAGGCCTATAGAGACCATTTCACACCTACAGGAAGCAGCCAACCTGTATTATAACATTCAGAAAGCAATTGTATTCACCAACTTCATTTTGGAGGCCAGTACCAAAGGCATCAGTTTCATTCAAACCCTCATTGGAGAGGTCATTTGGTGAAACACCACAGTCGTTTAATTGCAAAGGTGCTCTTTGTGCTTGGTATGTGTCTGAAACTGAAAACAAGGAACTTAACACAATGTACATACACAAAAAAAGTGTCGGTTTCCCGGCCAAGCTGCAATAAATAATAAAGAAGAATGCTATAGAACTGAATATAAAAACTGCAGAAATCAATATGCAATGAAAAAATTGCAACTTTAGGCAAAACTTGTACGATTCTAAATATGAAACTTATTTCAACATGTATTGTAGCATCAACGTGAAAATATATGTGCAACTACGCAATAGGCTGCCAAAACACTGATATATACAACACAACAGTTGAGCCTTAACTACCTAGTTAAATACTAATGCATATCTAGACAGTTCACCGTCCAAAATTCTAGTCCATCAGACAATCAGAGAGATGACTCCAATACATAACCATAGTAACATTTACCCAGTAAAAGAACTTTCAACAAGTTAGTCTCGACACAGACAGCAGAAGAGCAGTACATAATGATGCAAAATATTCCTTAATTTGATGAAACCAAAATCCTTTTATCCACTGAAAATTCGTAAGTGAAATCATTTTTACGTTTTTTCATAATATGCTACTGAGAAGATGGTTGCTCAAGAAAAATCATCAGATACACACTACAACAGTTCTTTTATATTAAAAAAAGTACAACTGGCTCAAGACACACAATGCCAAACATAATGCTTGAAAGGGTAACATAACCAATAAGAAGCATGTATAAGTATATGCAGTAAGAACATTACCAAGGCTTTGCAGAGCATCCTTCTCAAGGTCAGCTTTGAACCTTTCTTCATCATCTTCCCGAGCTTGCAGTTGTCTTAAAGTCATTGTATCACCTTCTCCAGAAATAGGAGCAACTGTTTTCACAAACTACCCATGTCAACTTAGTTTATATGATATGAAAAAATAAAATCTGAAAAATAACTTAATATAACAAGGACATAATACGGACATGCTGAAAAACATCAGAAGAGAAATTAATTGAAAATAAACCAATACTATATGAACAATAACATCAGACAACATGAGAACATGCATGTAAACCTGATAACATTATCCGATAAATTGAAAAGTTTCTGCTCAAGCTGTGTCCGTTAAACCACTGATATGAAGTATCAAGGTATCTTTTGTTTTAATATGACTTCGTGAATATTACTGTAAAAAATATAAGAGGCTACTGAGAAGATGGTTGCTCAAGAAAAATCATCAGACACACACTACAACAGTTCTTTTATGTTCAAAAAGTACAACTGGCTCATCTCAAGACACACAATGCCAAATATAATGCTTGAAAGGGTAGCGTAACAAATAAGAAGCATTTGTAAGTATATGCTGTAAGAACATTACCAAGGCTTTGCAGAGCATCCTTCTCAAGGTCAGCTTGGAACCTATCTTCATCATCTTCCCGAGCTTGCAGTTGTCTTAAAGTCTTTTTATCACCTACTCCGAAAATAGGAGCAACTGGTTTCACAAAGCACCCATGTCAACTTAGTTTATATAATATGAAAAAAATACAATCTTAAAAGTAACTTAATATAACAAAGACAAAATACAGACATGCAGACAAACATCAGAAGATAAATTCATTGAAAATAAGCCAATACCATATGAAGAATAACATCAGACAACATGAGAACATGCATGTAAACCTGGTAATGGTATCCGATAAATTGAAAAGTTCCAGCTTAAGCTATGTTCGTTAAGCCACTGATATGAAGTATCAAGATATATGTTTCAATACGACTTCATGAACATTACTGTAAAAATATAGAAAGAACTTAAATGATGTCCAGTTTGATTTTCTATATTAATCCTCCATGCCACAGAAATTTCTTGGATGTGAATTTTTCATGAGCAGTAATTCAGACAACAACCAGGTATCATGTTATTGAAAGAAAGACTCGAGTGCACACATAAACATGTTGAATAAAATGAGCTGTTCAACATCAAGTCATTATCATGAAAATCCAGTTCTGCTTCCGCTTTGAAGGGACCCATATAGAAGAAATTCTCGTTTTTTTCCTGTCACTATAAAAGAAGTGAGAAAGAAAACACAACTGACTGCTGCGACAGTTCAAATCTAAACACTCTTTCAATTACCATAGAACCGTTTGCCTAGCTCTGATAGAACATTCTAGCATGGAAAGTTTAACAGCATTCCAGTACAACAGAGCACTAAAGCATAACACTCCACCACAAAAAGCACAGAGAAAACTTTACCACCATCCGCTGGGACACCGTCAACAAATCTAACTTGCTCTTCTACATGGAAACGAAAACTTCCAAATTGAATGGTTTCCTCCTCACGTAACACTACTTGATATTTTCCATCAAGATATCTGTTGGAACTCTTATGTCGTCTACCCTTTCTTACTGTCTGCCATTCACTAGTACCACCCTCAACCCTTATGTCCTCTTCTTGTTGTTTCGAATTCAATTCATCACCATTCAAAGAAACAACTTCAGAACCTAGATGATCTCCATCAGAAACAAATTCCAAAGGACTGCAAGAAAACACGCATGAAAATGCCCTTTAACAGGAGTCTTTAACAAAATGTATCAATAACAGTTGTATGGAGATAGAAAACTCGGAAATCATAAATGACACTGCAAATTCAGAGAAGGCGGAAAACATACACTTGCTCTGCAGTCTCATCATTAAGTATATGCAGCTCATTTCCACCACTAGCCTGAAAGAGTAAAAAAACATTAGATCTTCACAATAGGATATAAACGAAGTTTACTACCAGCTAAATTATCAGGGAAGAAAATGTAAAACATACCCTTGAATCCTTAGATTTTCGGAACTCCTTGTTCTTTTTCTTATCCTTGCTTTTCTCCAGTGAATTTCTGGAATTATCATTTCCCCCTCGAATACCATTATTAGAGTCACGTGCAAGCTCTGCTAGAAACGCTTCTCTTGCAGCATCAGACTTCTCAGTAGCATCTTTCTTGGCCAGATCCTCCATGTGCACCTAAATTTTAAAATAATTAATATAAAAGGATAAGTAGAACACCACACAAAATCAACTGGTTTATTACCCTTAAGTATGATTTCACTAAAGGCAACAATATTGTTCGATAATCATGTGCAGACACTGGTTTAAATTTAACTTCCAATTGCTTCTTCCCAGTAGTAATATTTCGCATAATTCTTGCATCAACTTTGCTTAGCTGCATTACAAAATAAAACAGTAAAGAATGGAAAGTTAATAGTCATAGTTTTTTATTTAGAAGTTGCAAATAAAGTAAAAGACCTCCATTGATACTTGTTCCTTCTGTCTCTGAAGGGCAACCTCTATGCAGGTGTCCACTTTATGCAGATAGTCCTTAGCTTCCCAGTCATCATCTTCGCCAGATTCCAAGTCACATAACTGAGCTTCTGCTTCTTTAAAACATTAGATATAGCCTCCAACTCAAAACTTGTGCTGAGGAACATAGCAACACTTTCATTTTCAAGAAGTTCTTTTGCTCCCTAAGGACAGACTCATAGCTTCTATGCACAAATTCAGTGGATGTATCCCTCTTCTTACCTTCTTCAAGACAGAGATCCTCCACGGCCTGCAGTGCTTCCTCATAGATTATATGATCACATTTTCTCTCACAGAGACTTTGTAGGTGACCAAACTCCTTCTCCAGCTTCTGAAGGATCTCAATTCCTTGCTTTCTTTTCTCTTCTTTCATGCGTATCCACCGCGCTAAATGAACCCCACTTGAGGGGCCAGCAAAAATCCAGGACAGTATAGCATCATCCTGACTAGCATCTTCTATTGCTGCATCAGGCAATGAATGTTCATCCAGGAGGAGACATGAAGCATCTGCACTGAGAACAATCTTCTCTTTAACCTCAAGAACCTGAGTGGCATCATTTACATCATCCACAGGAGCATCCTTCTCAGAATATCTGTCCAGACCACAAAAATGAGATATATCATGCAGGAATTTGAAGATTTTTCTTAGTTGCGTAGCTCCCAGAAAACAAATGCAGAAGGGACTTTGATGTACACCATAATCCAGAAGCTGAGAACCAGAAACCATATTCTGCAAAGCATCCATTGTGAATTGTATCACCTTGTTAAGATGGCTAGCAGCAAGGTAGTTATGTCTAATAAGCAGTTCAAATGTAGCACCGATTCTTTCAAGCAACTTTGAACGCTCAACATCATCCACTGTTGTCCACCCATCCACAAGTTGACGTGCTACTATTTTAACTTCCGAATCATCAAATTTAGACCTTTTACCTATTATTTTAACTGCCGCAGAAATATCCAGGGGATCCCAAGAACAGTTAAGGAGCATATTTATCCACTCATTATCAACACTCCGTGGCAAAACAGGAACCATTTCAGGGATGAGATTCCCCATATGTTTCTGAGCAACATGCTGCATATGAGACTGTGAATCCACAAACTTCTCACCACACCTACAGCAAACCCAAAACATCCAAGTCTTATTAACCTCGGCAAATGCCAAAGCCTCTGCGAATACCTCACCCGCCAGCCCATGTTTCAACAAGCCAAAATATGTTTTGAGATCCCTAATACTAATCCTAAGCAAATCTTTTTTCGAGTCAAGACTCATTGAATTCCAAAATGATCGAACCCAATCTCTCCTTTCAGATGTTGAACCATTCTTCCTCCTTATACCTGCTCCTCCTCTTTGTCCACCTACAGAGGATCCAGCCCTCTGCAAAAGTGGAGAAGAATAGGCCGCGTCAGACTTCTGTTGCAAGAACCTAGCAGCAGCAACTCTAGCCTCAATCTCTTTCCTTCTTTCTTCTGGCGTCTTTGTATCTTTGTTAATCTCATTAAGTCTTAGTATCTGTCTTCTGAACTCCATAGGATCATCCGTTACTTTCTTTATCGGAAAGAACCTAAAGCACTCTTCTCCACTCCCAATATTCTTTATCCAAGCACAAATTGAAGAGATATTAGATCTCTCTATCAACTCCCTAAGCTCATTTTGTACGTGCAAAATTCTCGCCTCCGCGGTTCGTATTTCCTGTGGACTCTCTTCTTGAAAGTTTTCTTTGGTGGGATCTACCGGATTCTCAATGGCCAATGCGCGTTCGCATTCTTGAATCACTTCTTGAAGCTCTTTTACGTCCCTGGCATATTCATACAGTAAATTCGCATAACAATGAGCACATTGGATCGAGTTTGGAAATAATTCCGCGGCCTTCTTGGCCGAGTCGATCGCGTTCTTGAAATGCCGCTGCTTGGCGTTACGATCATCGATGACGGAGGCCGCTTTCTTGAAGACCGTGCTTTGAACGACGTAGATTAGCGCCGCATGAGCCGAGTTCTCGTGACGAGCACACAAATCTTTCATCAACCGAAGGGCTTTGGTATGGTTTCCACGTCGGAGTACCGTAAGTGCTCGCCCACACTCCAACTGAACTGCCGCATAAGACGAACCGTCATCGGGCTCTGACGGAGGCGCCGATGCCTCGATCTTGGTATTGTTGGCTCTCAGCTCGGCCGCCTGTTTTACTCGTGGAGAAGAAACGTTCTTCTTTCTGGGCCCCATCTACTTCAATCTCTTTCTTCAGAAATCCACCGGAGTTGAAGTGACTGGAAAAGAATGATGGCGGGAATCGAAGCGACGATCAGAGTCTGGTAAGTCTTCAACTGTTTCTTGTTGCTTTGGTGCATGTATGCGCGCCAATATTAATAATCATAATACTAAGGATAAACTACATCTTTAGTCACCCAACTGTTCGTTCAATTCTATTTGGGTCACAACTATTTTAACCACATATTTGGTGCTGTTTTTTCAATAATGACGTGGACATGTCAATGTAAACGTTGATATTTTGTTTACCATGACCAAAATGAAACCAAAATATAATATTGAGTATATTTTTGGAAACAAAATAGTTAGTAAAAATATAATCATCTGAATACTTGAGTGACTAACTATGTAGTTTACCCTAAAGATAATTAGATGGACTACGTATAGTTGTATTTCATTTTTTTTCTTATTTTAAACTCTCAAAACGAAAGGATAACCTATTAAATCAATTTTGTTATTTCTTCATACAAGAATAAAGTGGAATTTCACTAGAATAAAATTACATTAAAAGATACCATAAAAAATACATTAAAAGTTTCTAAATTGATGAAAATAACAAGGATCATTGGGTCGGGTTGGTGTTTAACCTTCTATAGCTGAATATTCGTAATTTAATAAAAAAGAAGTTTAATCAATAAAAAGTTCCACATTAATCTAAAAAAAAGTAATTTACATATTTAATAAAAAAAATGGTTTAATCAAAAAAAAATTATCTTTAATTTCTTCTTTTATCTCCTAAATTTTCATTGATTCTTGAGTATATTACTGATTAATAAGTGTTTTTTATAATTATATTAAAGCAGAATTTTAATTGAATGTAATGTAATCAAATAATTAAAGTGAACAAGAATTGTTTTGATTGATTTTCCGAAAAAACTGGTTTCATGTGTTGCCGCTATAATTTGGGATTTAGAACGTTTTAAACGTTATATTTTATCATTTTTAATCGATTTTGATTGTTAGAGAATGGTGAGAATATGAATCGGTGAAGTTCTTGCCAAATATGTGAGAATGTCGATCTTCTGGAGTCAAATTTTTTAGGTTCTTTGTGGCGTAATGCTCTACTCTATTTTTTAGTTATTATTGATTTACAATTGCATTCTTTAAGGTGTATACATAGTGATTAATAATTGGGTTTCATATCTAAAGCTATATGTTATATGTTTTGCATTAAATATTAATTTACTTATGATAAATTTGAATTAATGGACAAATTATTCATTACAAAACCTTTAGATATACAAGGCATGCCAAAGAAAGAGTATTTTATGTTTTCATTAATGTGTAAGTGAATATCGGGATACCAAATAAGATTAGAAGTGTTGAGCTTGCTCCACTTGAAGTTTACAGGATTAGGGTGTTAAAGCTTGCTCTACTAATTATGCGATTTTGAGACCTATGAAAGTTCCCAATAAAATGAGAGTTGTATGGAGTTTGTTTATCCAATGAGTAAATTGATTATGTTTCATTTCGAATGAAGTGTTGATGAATCTAGAATATGTAATTTGATTTGTAATCATTATGTGTATTATTTTGTAAGGTAAATGGCGAGTATAAATGTGATACATGGCAGCCATGATGGCAAGGTGTTAAGCATGATTTATGTGTTGGTTTTTGGCAAAAGTCCCACATTGGTTGTGTATAAGGAGGAGGGGAGATTCTTTTGTTATAAATAAAGCCCTCCTCCTCCTTAGTTAATCATCCCACAAATATAAGCCTTCTTCTATTTTAAAGGCTATTTGTATTCTTTCTCTCTTTGTAATATTTCCTCTATTAGTGAAATATTTTGGTGTTCTCTTTTATGTCTATTTAATAGCTATTGTCGGGTATAGTTGTTGTCAATTATTGTCCTATTAAAATTACTTGTCTTGGTAGTTTTGTCTAAGGAAAGTGGGTTTTAAGAGGGACCATTGTGACCCCTCCTCTTTCCTGGGAATCTACCTTGGGGTGATTTTTAGTACAATCGTTTTCACACTAGTCACCTAGATAATAGTTTTCAAGGTGAATCTGTTATTGGTGGAAATTAACCCGAATTTCACAACAATTGGTATCAGAGCTCTTGGTTTATTTTAGTATGCTCTGTGGTTGCGGCTTAGGCTGATCTTCCACATCAGAAAAATTTCCTTGGGATAATTGACATTCTGCATTGGCAGCTATTAAATAGAATTTGTAGCAGAAATGGCAGACGCTTCTTCATCTTAATTTTGGCAAGAAATGTTGTGACAAATGTTAGATTTGCGGTGGAGATTTTTGATGGCACCGGTCATTTCGGCATGTGGCAAAGCGAGGTTCTAGATGCCCTATTTCAGCAGGGTCTAGACATTGCTATTGAAGGAGAGAAACCAGATGATGTTGAGGAGAAAGAATGGAAGAGGATCAATAGAATGGCATGTGGTACTATTCGATCGTGTCTTTCTAGAGAGCAGAAGTATGCATTTTCTAAGGAAACTTCTGCAAGTAAATTGTGGAAGGCACTGGAGGAGAAATTTTTGAAGAAAAGCGGTCAGAACAAACTCTACATGAAAAAGAGACTGTTCCGCTCAACTATGTACCAAGTACCACTATGATGATCACATTACTAGCTTTAATCAGCTGGTGACTATCTGATGAATATGGACATGACTTTTGAAGACGAAGATCTGGCTCTGATGTTGATGGGATCACTTCCTGATGAGTTTGAGTATCTTGAAACTACTCTACTTCATGGGAAGGTTGATGTGTCTCTCAGTGAAGTAACTGCTGCCTTGTATAGTTATGAATTGAGAAAGAAAGACAAACAAGAAAACACAAGTGTCGAAGAGAAGCTCTTGTTGTTAGAGGCCGTTCCAAGAGTCAGAATAAAGGAAGCAGAGGGAGATCGAAGTCAAAGTCCAGATTGAGCAAAGATGAATGTGCCTTTTGTCGAGAAAAAGGGCACTGGAAGAAAGAATGTCCCAGGCTAAAGAATAAAGGCAAACCTGAAAGGGGGAAGGCTGTCTCAGAATCAAATGTGGTCGAGTATGATGATGGAGATTCAGATTTCGCATTCGCTGCTACGCCATCAACCAGCTGTTCCAGTTCATGGCTGTTAGATTCAGCTTGTAGCCACCATATGACCCCCAATAGAGAATGGTTCTTTGATTTTAAAGAACTAAAAGGTGGAATTGTCTACACAGCAAATAATTCCCCTCTTGAAACACTTGGGATTGGTTCAATTCGCTTGAGGAATCAGGATGGATCAATCAGAACCTTAACAGGTGTCCATTATGTACCAGATTTAATGAGAAATCTCATCTCTGTGGGAACCTTAGAGTCAAAAGGTTTAGAAGTGAGGGCAAAAGATGGGATTATGAGGATTATCTCTGGTGCACTGGTGATAATGAAGGGAATTCGAAAAAGAAACAATGTGTATTACTTTCTGGGTAGTACAATTGTTGGGACAGCAGTAGTGGCAGCTTCTACTGATGAACAGGAGTCAGAAGCAACCAGGTTATGGCATATGCGCTTGGGGCATGTTGGTGAAAAATCCTTGAAATTACTGATAGATCAAGGATTATTGAAGGGTGCTCGGGCTTGCAAATTAGCTTTTTGTGAGCATTGCATCAAAGGGAAGAAGACGAGGGTGAAATTTGGAACAGCAATCCATGATACTAAAGGTATTTTGGATTATGTTCATTCAGATGTATGGGGGCCTTCCAAGAAACTTCATTGGGAGGAACACACTATTATGTCACCTTTGTTGATATTTTTCCCGGAGAGTTTGGGTGTATCCAATGAAGACAAAGGATGAGGTGCTAGGATTTTTCCTTAAATGGAAAAAGATGATGGAGACTCAAACAGGCAGAAAAATCAAACGTCTCCGTACAGACAATGGTGAAGAGTACAAAAATGATCCATTTCTGAAAGTCTGTGAAGAGGAAGGTATTGTTAGGCACTTCACTGTCAGAGGTACACCACAACAGAATGGAGTGGCAGAGCGTATGAACCGGACATTAGTGGAGAAGGTTCGGTGTATGTTGTCTAATGCTGGGTTAGGCAAAGAATTTTGGGCTGAGGCTTTGGTCTATGCTTGTCACCTTGTTAACCGCTTACCATCGACTTATTGGTGGTAAAACACCATTAGAGAAATGGTTTGGAGTACCTGCTACAGATTATGATTCCTTACATGTGTTTGGTTCCACTGCATACTACCATGTTAAGGAGTCAAAGCTGGATCCAAGAGCAAAGAAGGTGATTTTTATGGGGATCACCTCTAGTGTGAAAGGCTATCGTCTTTGGTGTCCAGAAACAAAGAAAATAATCTTCAGCAGGGATGTTACCTTTGATGAATCTACCATGTTGAGAAAGGTGACTTCAAAAAATTGGAGCAGACAGATGGAACTCCCAAAAAGGTGGAGTTTGAAGGAAGCAAATTTGTCCCAACCAATAAAGAAAATGATGTTGACTCTCCTATGGTAGAAGAAGAGTCAGAGGAAGAAGAGGTTCAGACCCAAGAACCTCCACAGCAACATGAATCAATTGCACTCAGAAAGGGAAAGAGGACCATTAGCAACCTGCTCGTTATGCTGATATGGTCTCTTTTGCATCACCAATTGCAATTGATGACGTTCCTGCCACTTTTAATGAAGCAGTTCAAAGTTCAAAACATAAAAAGTGGAGGATTGCCATGAATGAAGAAATGCAATCCCTTCAAAAGAATCAGACGTGGAAACTAGCTAGTCTTCCGAAGGGAAAGAAGGCAATTGGGTGCAAGTGGGTATATGCAAAGAAAGATGGATTTCCTGACAAGAATAACATCCGCTACAAAGCAAGATTGGTGGCTAAAGTCTACGCTCAAACGGAGGGAGTTGATTATAATGAAGTATTTTCTCCAGTTGTAAAACATTCCTCCATCAGAATTTTGTTGGCTTTGGTAGCGCAGTTGGATTTGGAACTAGTTCAGATGGATGTAAAAACTGCATTTTTACATGGAGACTTGGATGAG